TTTTTGATGTTGAGGTATGTTTCTTGGATGTAGCAGAAGGATGGATTCTGTTTTCACATCCATTCTGTTAGTCTATGTCTTTTTACTGGGGAATTGAGACCATTGATATTGAGAGATTTCAATGACCAATGATTCTTCATTCCTGTCACTTAGTTTTTGTTGTTGGCAGGTGTGTGTGTGTGTGTGTGTGTGTGTGTGTGTGTGTGTGTGTGTGTGTGTGTGTGTGTGTGTTTGTATGTGTGTGTGCTTCCCATCTTTTGATTTTGCTGCTCTAAGATTATTTATTCCTTGTGTTTTTATTGGTGTAGTTAACCTCCTTAGGTTGGAGTTTCCTTCTAGCATCTTCTGTAGGGTTGGATTGTGATAGATATTGCTTAAATTTGGTTTTATCATGGAATATCTTATTTTCTCCATTATGGTGATTGAAACTTTTGCTGGTTATTGTAGTCTGGACTGACATCAATGGTCTTTTAGTGTCTACAGCACATCTGTCCAGAACCTTCTGGCTTTTAGAGTTTCAGTTGAGAAGTTGGGTGTGCTTCTCATAGGTCTGCCTTTATATGTTACTTTGGTCTTTTCCTCTTGAAACTTGTAATATTCTTTGTTCTATAGATTTAGTGTTTTGATTATTATGTGTTGAAGAGGCTTCCTTTTCTGGTCCAGTCTATTTGGTGTTCTATAAGCTTCTTTTATCTTTTTTTTCCCCCCTGAGACAGGGTTTCTCTGTGTAGTTTTAGTGCCTGTCCTGGATCTCGCTCTGTAGACCAGGTTGGCCTCAAACTCACAGAGATCTGTCTGGCTCTGCCTCCCAAGTGCTAGGACTAAAGGTATGTGCCACCACCTCCCGGCTCAGCTTCTTCTTTCTTCTTCTTTTTCTTTTTTTTCCTTTTTTTATTAAGAATTTTTTTCATTAATTTTACACACCAATTAAAGGTCCCCCTCTTCTCTCCTCCCACTCCACCCCCCAGCCTCCCCTTCTTAACCTACCCCCCATTCTCACCCACAAGAAAGCAAGGCCTCCCATGGGGAGGCACATCCAGTAGAGGCAAGTCCAAGCCCTTCCCCCTGCCTCAAGGCTTCATGAGGTGTCCCATCACAGGTAGTTGGCTCGAAAAAGCCCACTCATCCAGCTCAGCTTCTTATACCTTTATAGGCATGTCTTTCTTTAGGTTAGGAAATTTTTTTCTATGATTTTGTTGAAAATATTTTCTGGGCTTTTGAGCTGGGATTCTTTTCTTTCCTTAATACTATCATTCTTAGGTTTGGCCTTTTAATAGTGTCCCAAATTTCCTGTATTTTTTAAACATAATATTTTTATTTATTATTTTGGAATTTCACGTCATGCACCCTGGTCACATTCACTTCCTAGTCCTCCCAGGTCCGCCCCTACCCTTGTGTCCCCCCAAATAGGAGGAGGAGGAGGAGGAGAAGAAGAAAAGAAGAAGACGAAGAAGAAGAAGAAGAAGAAGAAGAAGAAGAGGAGGAGGAGGAGGAGGAGGAGGAGGAGGAGGAGGAGTCCAATTTTTGTTGTTCATATATTCACTGGAGCATAGTTAAACTTAAAGCGAGCCCCTTAAAGAAAAATGAGTCCTACTCCACCCGCAACTTCATAAGAAGCCATCAGTTGTGGTGAGCTACACATCAGCATCCTTGTCACAAATTTTAGAGCTCTCTTCAATAGTTCCCTGTCTAGGCTGTTACATTTTTTTGGAGGGGTAGGATGGGGGTAGGGTTTGTTACAGAAACCTTCTATGTCCTTGTTCAGTCACTGATACCACTGCAAAAGTAGCTTTCTTGCCCCTTTTTTGTAGCAGGAATCTTAGACGGTCTTATTAATAAAATCAAACCTGAGGCCAGTTATTGGGGTGAATGCTGGAAGATCAGAGAAGCAGAACAAGCCACAGCTTCGTCACCTCGACAGTTCCTCAGCTGATCCTGTTTCCTCAGATTGGAAGCTTCTGTGTCCTCATCCCAATGGCTCTCAGCTGAACTGCTGCTCGAAAGCCTGAAGCTTAACCAGCCAAATGCTTCTAGTTCCTGGTCTTCACGCCTTATATACCTTTCTGCTTTCTGCCATCACTCCCTGGGATTAAAGGCTCACTTCTTGGGATTAAAGGCCTGGCTGTTTCCAATGTGGCCTTGAACTCATAGAGATCCAGAGGGATTTCTGCCTCTGGGGTGCTAGGATTAAAGGTGTGTGCTACCACTGCCTGTCCTCTATGTTTAATATTGTGGCTGTTCTATTCTCTGACCCCAGATAAGCTCATTAGGGTGCACAATATTTTGGGGAACACAATACCACTACACATTTTTTTTTGTCAGGAACTTTTTCTATTTAACATTTTCTTTGACTGATTTATCCATTTTCTCTATAATATCTTCAACACCTGATAGTCTCTCTTCCATCTCTCATATTTGTTGGTGAAATTTGCCTCTGTACTTCCTGTTCAAATTCCTAAATTTTTCCTCTTCAGAATTCCCCTTAGTTTGGGTTTTCTCTTTATTGATTCTATTTCTCTTTTCAGGTCTTGAATAATTTTATTCATTTCTTTCTACTGTTAGTTTGTGGTTTTATGCACGTCTTTAAGGAATTTGTTAATTTCCTCTTTGAAGACCTCTATCTTCTCCTCCAACATTCCTTTCCCCAACTTATCCTAGTACCCCATCCTCCAATAGGCATTCCAGAAAACACCAGCAGGCATTCCTTGCAAACATACCAGTTGAGCAGGCCAGGAAAACAGGTAAGCTAACTGAAGACCTTCACCAGTCCCTCCTCTCTTCCAAACCCAATACCCCAGTCTCAACCCCAGGTCCACAACGGAACACCTGCTTCCTTCTAACTTCCCACCCACATATCTTGTGGCTCCCACAGACCTTCTGCTCCACCCTCCCTCTCCCCACTTGTTGCTTTATCCCAGCCCCCAACTCCAGCAGGCACTTCCTGCTAATCCACAGGCCACTCCTGCCGGGGAAGCAGGTAGGCTGTCTGTAGATCTTCCCATCTTCTTCTGTTCCTCTAGATCCAATCCCCTAGTCTTGTCCTCAGTGATATAGCAGATCCTCTGGGGTGACCTCTCTCTACTGAGTCCCCCATTCCAAGGAGATGAAATAAGCAGATGCTGGTTGAACACTCTCCTCCCCTCCCCTCCCCTCCCCTCCCCTCCCCTCCCCTCTCCTCTCCTCTCCTCTCCTCCCTTCTGTGAATCTCTTCAGACCCCTAGCCTATCCCAGGTCCTAATTGTCAGTTCCCAATACCCAAAAACACATTTTACCTGAAACCCCCAGTGGTCACAACTATCAATTCCAAAGAAAATTTCCTACCAGACAACACATATCCATCATAGTCTCTGAAAATCCAGAGAGGAAATAAAAATAAGGAACAAAACACCCACCTAACAAAGACAAATCCCTAAATCAGCACCTAGACTTATAATTATTCCAATCTCAGATGCCTAGATGCCAGCATCAAAGCACAGTCAATAACAGGCAGGGTAATATGTCTCCACTGCATCCCAGCAACCCTACCACAGCAGACCCTGAATACTCCACCATAGCTGAAGCCCAAGCAAAAGACCATATTTACCTATTTTTAGAGAGACTTTATGTTTGTTTGTGTGTGTGTGCACATGTGCACACGCGTGTGTGTGTGTGTGTGTGTGTGTGTGTGTGTGTGTGTGTGGTTGTTGAGGCCGAAAGCACTGGGTCATGCCTTAAGCAAACAAAGAGCTGTGACATGCGCAGAGAGCACTCTGACCAGAGGAAATCTGACCCATAAACTCCAAACTGGATGGTGATGACATGCAGCCCTAGAGCCAACCAAGAAACGTCACCGTAGCTAGGAGCAGAGCCCACCAAAAACCACATATATAAACCTCAGCCCTTTGTTTAATAAATGAGAACTTGCTTGCAAACCTCCAGGAGTCTGTGTTGTTGACTGTGGGTCTGCTCACCCTCTGCCCTGGGGATCAGAGACATCAGGACCCCCGCTCCAGAGCCAGCGACATGTGTGTGTTGGTATAGTCATAGTGGTGAAAACTATACATATTCATCTATTTTCAGGGAGATTGTGTGTGTGTGTGTGTGTGTGTGTGTGTGTGTGTGTGTGTGTGTGTGTGTGTGTGTGTGTAGAGGGTATTAGTGCAGTCATAATGGTGAAACTAAAATCTCATTTCATTTTCTCAACAGGAACAGAGATGTTATCTGCACAAAGCTGCTGAGCAGAGAAAACCAGAGTCAGGGCTGACAGATCTCCACCCTCCAAGCTGAGGCAAGGGAATCTTGGGATGGTGCACTTAACTACCTTGATGGTGGTTTCCAGTGCTACACACTTAAGTTCTATAGGACTACAAGGGATTCCATTCATAAATAAGCGCAGATACAGGTGGAGCCTTCTAAGTAAGCTCTGCAAACTGCGCTAACATCAACTTCCTGTTTTGCACACTGAACTGCAGCTTTGTAAGTATTAACTCTTACTGGAGGAAAGTGTTCAACCAGCACTTGTGCATTTCATCTCCTTGGAATCAGGAAGATAGTGGAGAGATGTCACCCCAGAGGGTCTGCTATAGCACTGGGGATCAGACGGGTGGGTTGTTGGATCTAAAGGAACAGAAGAGGGGAAATGGAGGGCACACAGCACCCCCTTTCATGGTTCTTTGAACTTTCCTATGCATTCTGCAATTATTTTGAAACAAGAAGCTCTGTAAAGACCACTTTGCAGATAGTATCTTACTAGATTGTCATAATAACTCTTGTGAATTGAATAGTATGATTGCTGACATTGTGTAAGATAGGAAAATGAAGATCCAAGGACAAATTCTGTTGGAAAAATAATGCAGCTAAAGTCTGTGCTGGCCAGCACTAAAGTTAGACCTTTCGAGGTGCTGATATACAGTTATGAGTATGAAAGAGTTATGAAACCATTCTCAGAAATATGGGTGTGCTTTAGGTCAGAAATCTCCAAAGCAAAAGTAAAGTCTGCCCTCTGTTCTCCCATAACTTACGGTAGATATGGAGGTGGTAGTGCTTCGTGGTGGTGGGGATATTCTCTTCATTTATGTCGGCTTTGTAAGTTCCTGCATCCTCCATCCTCAGGTCTCTAATGACTAGGTCATAGTTCTGACCTATGACACCTACTCGTCCTTCATAAACATCCCGGGTCACAGTAACATCAGGTGGTGCTCCTTCGAGTCCGGGTTGTACAAAAGCAATGGATGATTTAGAAGTCCAGGCAATGATCTTAACTTTCTGTGGCTCTTGAATATTTAAGGGGAAAGTAACCGACTCCCCAAGAATCCCATTCACCACGAATGAATCTGTTCCTCTTCCTGCTGCTTCAGACCCTGAGGATATAAATAGAAAATCATAAACCATCGGACTGTTGAACCACTTGTGTTCCTTCTTTCTTGAGAATCACTGAGGAACTTCCTCAGACACTGTTCATCCTGTGTCTTGAGGATTTCTTCTTTCATTCTAGGTGTTTGTGTGTGTGTGTGTGTGTGTGTGTGTGTGTGTGTGTGTGTGTGTGTGTGTAGGCCTGGATGTCCTGGAACACGCTCTGTAGATCAGGCTGGCCTCGAACTCAAAGAGTTTTGCCTGCCTATGCCTCCAGAGTGCTGGGATTAAAGGCATACAACACCACTGCCCAGCTTAATCTAGGTATGTTTAATGTGCTATGGCAACCAAAATTTAGCTAAATACCTGCAAATTTGTCTGAAACAAAACTGTCCCTGAAGAAATACATGTGTTCCTTCATAGATGAATGAATGAAGAAATGAATTTAGCCTATTTTGTAAGTTGCTTCAAGACAGTCTATGCAGCACAAGAGTGAATTCCAATACTTAATTCACTCTGTAAGTGTGAATTTAGGGAATAATTTTGCCAGAAATCTTTGCCTGTGTCTTCTAAGGATAAAAGAAAAAATGTTACGTGTTTTTTTTGAGGACCACAGTAAAAAACAAAAAACAAACAAAAAAAGCAGTAACCCACATACTCCCGGAACTCATCCAAAATTCTTCCATTATTGTGCAGAAGGATCAGAAAAGGGATGCACTTGATATCTTGGACCTAATGAAGGTTTCTGGTCTTTTTTCCTTGAATGCCTTCTAGCCTTCAGAATTTATGCATCTAGGAAAACATGTTTTTAATATAACAGATCTCTTATTGGGGATTCTTTAATGATTAGTAGTGTTTGAGATTGGCATCGATGATACATGAAGTATGCAATAATGGATATGACATGGGAACTGAGCAGCCAGAAATGGTGTTAATCCTGAACAACTAGCCGAGCTGTTTTGATGTGAACTGGTAATGTGTAAGCCCCAATGGCCAAGCCATGATTTCCACATAAGTGGGTTCTGGTTAACCCTAAATTTGGCATAGGGCTTGCTATACAGAGGGTCTTTTGAGAATGCAAATCACTAAAATGAAAGGATTTCTTAACCTGGTGGTGCTCTCACTGATGGCCACCTTTGCCCTTCAGCTCAGTAGCTACTGCAGGATCCCAGGACTGCTAACATGAATCTCTTTCCGTTTGGGTCAGTGGAAGGTTTTCCATCACGAGGAATGTACTGGTGACTTAGTTGGAATAGGAAAGCCAAGTCAATATGTTTTAGGGCACTACAGCAAGGAAGGATGGGACAGGAGGAAAGTAGGGACACTTCACCTACCAACATTTATTACGTACTACCTACGCATCCATGCTATGTTAGGACCACAGGGATAATAGGAAACCATTACAGCCCTGAGGAGCCCAGGGAATACAAAGGCTAACATGATGAGTGCCAAAGGGAAAGGATGACAGGAAGAAAACATACAGAGGACATAAAGTTAGGCTAATGCTGTCTGTGGCAGCCACACTTTGCAGAAATCCCCAACACCAACTGTCACCAGATCAATTATCTTACTGGGCTGATAGGGTTCACAGAGGGCACTTGGAACACCTTAGCTTCTGTCTCAGGTATGGATGCCAGAAGCTAGGCTCAAAGGATATTGAACTTGTTTTCTCCTGCTGTGTGACTTCCAAATGCTCAATGCGTTTCAAACAGAGGGCCCCAGAGTTTGGCATTGGGTCCTGCAAATGCCATAGCCAAGCCCTGTCTCAGATCTCCTACATGTCTCAAGGCTTTTTTGAATTGACGTCCTATGGCTTAACTGTCATTTGACTCTTTGGGTTTAAGTTAGGTATGAGATGAATCAGATATATTATATCTAATTCTGGCTATATTCCATTATCGCCTTCTGAAACATGGGGGCCATCTGCTAGGGCTGAGAACTTCTTGGTATTAGAGCAGTCATGCAATCACAAGTGGTTGAATGTGGTGTTTGTGTTAAGCTATGCTCCACTCCCCACATCATTCAGGAAATGATGCCAGGCTCTCAAAGAGCAATGGAGCGGGGAGGGTGATGTGTAGGTGACACTGTAGGGGAAATACTGCAGCTCTTTGCACTGCTGATGTTGTTGCAAGACCTCGAGCTCTCGGAGAAAAAACCAAAGAGTTTGAATAGGTGTGAACTGACTTTTCTGCTGCCTTTAGAGGCACACAACTGCTCCAAGAGAGGTAGCTTTGGGGCTGCAGCAAGTAGCTGAAAAATATATGAGACAGGCTCCAGACTGGGCACCGCTTCCAAATGGGGCAAACTCAACACAGTTACAAAACCTTTCTCAGTCTAAAATAGCTGTAACATTGGCCCCATCTACTCAGTGTTGTAGAATATTATTTTAAGATGTGTTACATTTGTTTATGCTGCGAAATATTTGTTTAATGGTGCAAATATGTGTGGCATTCTTTTATGTTGCATTTGTTTAACTCTGTGAAGCTGTGTTACTTTGCCTGTCTGGAACACTTGATGGTCTCATAAAGAGCTGAATGGCCAATAGCGAGGCAGGAGAAAGGACAGGCAGGGCTGTCGGGCAGGGAGAGTAATTAGGAGAAATCTGGGAGAAAAAAAAAGAAGAAAGAGCAAGAGAACAAGGAGAGGAGGATGCCAGGGGCCAGCCACCCAGCCATTCAGCCACCCAGCCACCCAGCCACCCAGCCACCCAGCCACCCACTCAGCCATGGAGTAAGAGTGAAAGTAAGATATATAGAAGTAAGAAAAGGAAAAAGCCCAGAGGCAAAAGGTAGATGAGATAATTTAAGAAAAGCTAACACTGGACATTTATAATTAAAAACAATCCTCCATGTGTGACTTCTTTGGGAGCTGGGTGGCGGGCCTTCCAAAAGAGCCAAAGCAACCAACCACAACCAGTGAGCAGCAAACAGTGCAATGTGAGCAGAGGTGCTTTGCTAACTGTCCACGTGAAACTAATGTGGGTTATTCCTGGTGTTGACCACGAGCAAGTGGTACATGCATCTTCAAGATTGCATGGCCCCTCTCTATGAGGGCTCAGTGATGCTGAGGCCATATTGGATCTCCCTTAAACAGGTTTGTGGTATAGTTCAAGTAAAGCTCATCTGGATGCTTTTAACTGCTCTACTTGGCGGATCTCAATCTGCTCTTAAAACACTTCAGTTTTCAAAGAAAGGAATTGTCTGCCAATCAACTCCAATATTTATTTTTCTACATGCCACAGAGACTCCAATAGTATAATATCACTGCAGGGAATCTCAGCAAAATTCAATTTTGGAGAGAACTTGTGGCACAAAAATGTCTTGAAAGGGGGCTGAGATGTGCATGTCCTGTATGAGGCCCCACGTTTGAGCCTCAGGGGAATTAATACCAAGTTGGGGTGATGACACACACACACACACACACACACACACACACACACACACACACACACACACAACTTTCCTTTGCAATGTGAAGTGGGAAATGTCAGGCAAATGAATGACATTCATCAATGGCAATTTCAGTCAAAACTCAAAAAAGAGAAAGAGTACTTTGAACTGTGGCTGTTAAAAAAAACTTATTGGAAAGATATAGAGAAGGAAAGGTGTCTCAGGTCTTTGGGTTCTGAATCCCCGTTCACAAGTTTTGATGTCAATTGAGTCCAGATTTTCATGATAGGGGAGGTGATGAGAGAGGGGGGAAGAACATTAGAAACATAAATTATGTTTGGATTTGGGACACTCTTAAATTTGAGTTTATCCAATAGGTAGAGGGATCTATTAAAGTTTTTAAGGATTAAGATTAAGATAATATGTTGGGGTAATTTAAAATACTAATGATGTATAGAAAGAAAAAGAAGCTTTGGTAATAGAGGAAATAGATATGCTGTAAATAAACTAGAGAGAACTTTAAGAGGCTAATGTAGCCATCAGGGCATGAACCAAGGGAGTTATAATAGGGAAGGAAAGGAAGGGCTAAGTTTGAGAGATAGTGCAAGGAAGGGAAATGAAGAAATAGGCACCTAATAAAATTCACTTGTTCTGCTATTTATTTTTAGTTTTTGCTTTCTGTCAGTGAAAACCTAATGTTAGGAAACAGATATGCAGGAAAGATGTCAAAGGGAAAAGACAAGGCTAGTGTTAGAAGTGCTACATCTGAGATGAGATTGGACTACCTAAGTAAGCAGTTGGAAGGAAAGATGATAGGAGAAAGTATGGTCTAGAGGTATTGTTGGATGGAAGAGAGTGGCAACAGAACCTGCTTGTCATGGGATATTTGTATACTGTATAAAGACATATTGTTGTAATCGGTGTAATAAAGAGCTGAACATCCAATAGCCAAACAGGAGGTATAGGTGGGATTTCTGGGTAGAGAAAGGTAGAGGAGGAGGAATCTAGGTGTGAAGGAGATGCCAAGAGACACAGACAGGAAACAGGAAGTGCAAGATGGAAGAGGGGTAACACCACACGATAGAATATAGATTAATATGTGGTGATATATTGTGTACCCTAATAAAATTTGCCTAAAGACCAGAGAACAGAACAAGCTACTAGATTAAACATAAGAGTCCAGACAATGGTGGCACATACCTTTAATCCTAGCTCTCAGGAGGCAGAGATCCTTCTGGATCTCTGAGTTCAAAGCCACCCTGAACTACATGAGATTGAGTCAGTCTAGGAGAGAAACAGAGTCAGGCAGTGGTGGCACACACCTTTAATTCCAATACTTGGGAGTCACACGTCTTTAATCCCAGCCTTAGGAAAGTTGAGATAGGAAATGATATGGCTGAATGGAGAAGGTATATAAGGCTTGAGGAGACAGGAACTAGAGGCTATTCAGCTGAGGCTTTTCAGGCTGAGAAGTTCTAGAGGTAAGATGTGGCAGTTGCTGGTTCCTTTGTCTCTCTGATTTTTCAGTATTTACCCCAATATCTGGCTCCAGGTTTTTCATTAAAAGACCTTTAGAAATTCCAACAACATTAATATAAATGGGTTAATTTAAGTTGTAA